TTTCAGCCTGTAGTTAATTAAATTCCCTTCACAAGTCTTGTGTAGAGGTTTAAAGGAGGGGGGCGTTGAGATATGTCTGTGTTCAGCAGTGTTCAAAGCAAAGTGCTTTGTGCGCATAGTTAGTATCCACACTGGACCTTCTCTGCTGTCTTAAAAATATATCTTAAAAAAAGTAAATCAGCACATAGTTTAACAAAATGTTTGATGCCTTGGAGAAACTGTGGTGATTCCAAATGGCAAGATTCCGATCTGCCCCTTTTCCTATTAGCCTAATTGTTGAATGCTATCTGGGTTTATATGGGTACCCATGTCTCTTGCTTCCTAGAGAAGAGGTTGGATTGGGTTGGGAAGGGAATGGTTGCAGAAAGGAAACTTCTTGGCTGGTTCACAGCCCTATTCAAAACAGATGTTCTACATCTGGGGACAAAAAGTGGACAAATTTAAATGGTGAAATGTTTGTGTCCTGCCAAACACAGAAGTGGCATGTATCTATCATGTTCTGTGTAAGGGGAATAGCTGGGTTATCTTACACAGAACATGACAGATACCTCCCATTTCTTTGTTAGGTAACCCAGCTATTTAAGCAGGTAGGTACAATTTGCATAAAGGCTGGCATGGTGTGTGTTCAAGGGCAAAGATTTATATGCGAGTTGATCATCTATCAAGAAATCCAGCGTGTTTCTTTGAAGAGTCCATTTCTTTTTTCCAATTTATCCTGGCTCAATGAGAAAAGAAAAAAAAACCTGTAAGATCTTCCAACAAAGGGAATGGAACACAAATGCTAACTTTCCTTCTCTATAACATCTGCACCGAGTGAAAGTTTTAACTTTGCTTTCTGTGTTGGATTGATCTGCTATTTTAAATACTTAGTGTAAACACCATGAATGTTTACTCATATCTTTCCATACACTTTCTTTCATCTGGTAATGCCATGTGCAAACTAATTAAGCTTCCAAACTACATGCTAGGCTGTAGCCCAAAATCAGCCTTCCCCCCCCCTGCTCCCAATTATAAAAGTTCAAGTGCCTTTCTTTTTGTCCTCTAGGTTTTTGCTGAGTTTATTCCAGAGATCTGAAACTGGTGATGGGGGAATGGGGGAAAAATAGCCCCTCCAGTTTACTGGTCATCTTTATTTTATTTATTTATTTTAACTAACACAATTAGTCCATTGTTCAAAGATGACCTTTCTCTAAGCCTTTTCTACAAAGTGAGTCTTTCTGAAGCTTAACTTGCCTCTTTTGTTTATGTGGAACCAACCAAAACAATTTTCTTTCCATTGCTTCAGCCACCTGAAGAAAGATGTTTCAGGAATTAAAATTGTTTAGGCTGCCATCAGGGACAGGTAAGCTAAGGTCTTGGAATTGGTGTGCATTGTACTTGAAGAGCAAAAAGTTTCCTATCTGGCTATAAACAGTGATGTTGGGGTTAGTCTCCCTGGCGTATGCGTAGACAGGAATAAGTTGTCTTGTGACTTGTCAACTGAAGTTGACGTGGAATTAGGTGGGAACTTCTTGCCTCAGAAATTCTGAGTGATTCCTGTTTCCTTTCATTGTTTTCAAGCTCTGCCTTTCAGAACCGGGATTTGATTTCATGCGTTTGAATTGTGCTCGGCACTCGGGTTTTTCCGTTCAGTGAGATCAGTGGGCATTGAAAAAGATTTCATTTGTGTGGTCCTCCGTAATCTTTTTAAAACAAATGATTAATGTTATGTTTACAAACTGCATAATTTGGCTAAGAAGGGAATGCTGTCTTGAGTGGCAGATAGGTGCAGGTAACTATGGGGCATCTCCATATGCTTTGCTTGGCAGAAGTACAGAAATGGTTTGCTGTTTCCTACTTGTGGTTTGGGGTTGTTTGTTTTCTTTTACTTCCCAGTTAGGTCTGCACTCCAAGGGTTTCCTGATGGCATCCTATCTAATTATTATCCAGGTCCAGCTAGCTTTGCTTTCTCAAAATCTACCAAGGATAGCTAGGTGCTGCCACCTGCTGTGATATAATTTAGCCACCATTGTAAAAAATCAGAACAATTTGTTATGTACAGTAAAAATCTCTTGTCCTCATGATTACAAACATTAATGTGTGAGCGTATCCAGTTGCCTGGGCTTTGAAATGAGGCTGTGGCTGCTGCGGCTTGTACATGCTAACATGTAGCCTCTGCTATACCTTAGAACAGCTTATCTTAGCCGGGATAGTACGCTAGATAATCATATAGGATACAAGCTATTATTTTTGCAGGCCTTGTGTGTAGTTTGTGTAACCAGTCAAATGTGAGCAGTGCATAGAATTAAATCAAACCACTTTTTCTTCATAGTCTTTCATTCTGCACAATTAAGATTTGCAGCAGTTGATGTTAGGATTTCAGCTTGTAGGATTTTGAGTTGTGCTGGGTTAAATCAAATACCCTTTAGCTAATACTCTTTTGCTTTGTCTCCCTTGATTTTTAAGGATCCTGGTTTCTGAGGTTATCCAAGAGGAGATACGGGCCATAGGAACTGCAGACCTCAGATATAGCAGGAGGGACAGCAAGTGACTGTCATTGTACACCACCTCTCTCCAGCTGCTTGGAAACCTGCAGTCCAGACTGGAATCATGGACTCTGCCAGGGCCCCCCACATGACGGTCCGGAGCGATGTCAGTGACTACCTCAACTATGACATCATCAACAGGCATTACAACTACACCGGGAAGCTCAATGACAATGCCGAAAGTGGGGTCAAAGCAACATCGGTGGTCTTCATCATTATCTGCTGTTTTATCATCCTCGAGAACATCTTTGTTCTGCTGACTATTTGGAAAACCAAGAAATTCCACAGACCCATGTACTACTTTATTGGTAACTTGGCACTCTCAGATTTGCTGGCAGGAGTGGCATACATCGCTAACATCCTTCTGTCCGGCTCCACGACTTATACCCTCACCCCTGCCCAGTGGTTTCTTAGAGAAGGAAGCATGTTTGTGGCTTTGTCTGCTTCGGTCTTCAGCCTGCTGGCTATTGCGATTGAGCGATATATTACCATGTTGAAGATGAAGCTCCATAATGGCAGCAATAGTTTCCGTTCCTTCCTGCTCATCAGTGCCTGTTGGGTCATCTCTGTGATATTAGGGGGTCTCCCTATTATGGGGTGGAACTGCATTAGCTCCCTGGAGAACTGCTCCACAGTGTTGCCTCTTTATCATAAGCATTATATCCTCTTTTGCACCAGTATATTTACTGGCCTCTTATTGGCCGTTGTGATCCTTTACTGTAGGATCTACATCTTGGTAAGGACGAGGAGCCGTAGGCTGACCTTTCGGAAGAATGTGGCCAAAGCGACCCGGAGCTCAGAGAAGTCACTGGCTCTGCTGAAGACAGTGATTATTGTTTTAAGTGTGTTCATTGTCTGCTGGACTCCCTTGTTCATTCTTCTGTTGCTGGACGTGAGATGCAAAGTCAAGGCTTGTCCAATCCTCTTCAAGGCTGAATATTTCTTAGTACTAGCAGTGCTGAACTCAGCCACCAATCCAATCATCTACACACTTACCAACAAGGAGATGCGGAGGGCCTTTCTCAAGATTGTACGTTGCTGTACGTGTCCCACCACAGACTCTGGGACCAAAGTCAAGAGACCCATCATTGGAGGGATAGAATTCAGCCGAAGTAAATCTGACAATTCCTCCCATCCTCAGAAAGATGAGGGGGATCCTCCCGAAACAATTGTGTCCTCCGGTAATGTCACCTCATCGTCTTAGGAGCTTTGGCAAAATGGAGGCCTGAGCCCCTTGAAGGCTGACACCTGGGGGATAGCTCTGCTTGCATGTCTCCAGACGAAAGGAGGAGAGTGAAAACGAGTTGGTCTGAAAGAGAAATAGAGTATTGATTGGGGTGCAGCTGATGGCATACGACACATGGTATCATTTGAAAATATTTCCTCTCTCGGAGAATGTTGTGTGTTGGTTTGCCCTGAGGCAGCTTGGGGTTCTAAGCAATATTCAAGCTCTGTACATCTCTGAAAAGTGGACACTTGGATAAGCAGTGCCTTTGAATGGGAGTATGAGTGGGGAAGGAGAGAAATATCTTCAATTTCCCCGCCCCAAGGCAAAACTTCTGAACCCCTGAAACAAAGTTCTTGCTGTATTGGATTGACAGTCTTCTTCAATTAACTCCCTTGTCAAGGGAAGCAAATGTGCTAGTATATTCTGAGTATTAGAAAGAGAATCGGGGTGGGATTGTATGTCAAGAGTTGTTCGGATGCATGTATCCCTTTGGCACTTAATCATCAGTGGAAAGTCAGTGGGAATTAGGTGCTGGAGACTGCTGTGGGTTACCCTGAGGAATATAGCCCCATACTCCTGGTTGTAGTTGAATCCTCAAGGAATTAGTGAGACTGTGATATGTGTGAATTAGACTGGGGCTGTTTGAACTTAATAGATGTGTCATTTGAATCTTTTTTTTTTTTTAAAAAAAGCTGATAAATATGCTGCTTTCAGTAAGGAGTTGCATTTTAAAAACTTTAACAGCAACTTTATATAAACAGTTTTAACCATCAGCCATGTCCCATTTCTGCTCATGGTAATCATAAGAATGTTAAGAACGGCCCTGCTGGAGGCCTTAATTTCCTTCCAGTAAATTTTGCATGACCTCCCTTATCTTAGTGTAGGATACATATTTTTCCTTATTCTTTTTGTCCCCACATTGATCAAACAGCTGCACCCGGGGTGCTTGCAAGCAGGAGATGGAGCCATGCCCTTCTACTACTGTTGGTCTGCAACTACTATTTGGAGATAGGGCTGTTCTAACCTATAGCTCTTCAAGATTAATAGCTCTTGATAGACTGATTCTCCATGAATTTATCCATTGCTTTTTTAAAGCCACTAGAGTTAATGACCATTACTCTGTCTTGTGGTAATGAATACAACCAGGTTAATTATGTGCTGTGTGATGAAATACTTTCTTTTGTTTTTCCTCTCCTTGCAATCAACTTCTTAGAATGATTTTTCTGAATCCTAATGTTCTTTGTGAAGGATACACATTTTCCCTGTTTCCTTTCTACACAGCATAAGAGATTTCCTATTTTCTTTCGCTATGTAAATTGTTCATTCGTAGTGGCGCAATGGTTAGAAAGTGATATTGCAGGTTAACTCTGCCCACTGCTAGGAATTCGATCCTGACTGGCTCAAGGTTGACTCAGCCTTTCATCCTTCTGAGGTCAGTAAAATGAGGACCCAGAGCGTTGGGGGCAAGATGCTGACATTGTGTACTGCTTAGAGAGTGCTGTAAAGCACTATGACGCAGAATATAAGTCTAAGTCAGCAGTTCTCAACCTATGGGTCGCGACCCCATTTGGGGTCGATCGACCATTTCACGGGGGCCGCCAAGCAAGGCTGTCCGCCATTTTTTTCCCCCTTTTCCGGCGGGTGCCTTACCTCCCTTGGGCTGGGCCAGCTGGTGGTCGGCCTGCTCCGTCTCTGCCGCTTGCCAGTTACGCCTCGGCCGGCGCAGGGGGCGGAACCACGTATGCGTGGCGCTCCCGGGCAGGGAAAGTCCTCGACTTACGACCGGTTGGGTAGTCCTCGACTTACGACCGGTTTAGTCCTCGACTTACGACCGGTTTAGTCCTCGACTTACGACCGGTTGGGGGTCGCGGCATTAAAAAGGTTGAGAACCACTGGTCTAAGTGCTATTGCTATTCATTTCTCATAATCATCTAAGGAAGATATTGAAACCCCAGTCTTTTTTGTTGCCCTCTCCTATAGTTTTTCCAGTTGCGTTACATCTTTTTCGAAATGCACCCAGAGGTTTGCACTGAATTATAAATATGGATGAACCCTAGATTTGTGTAAGGACATTACAATTTGATGGTTTTATATTAATCCCTAGCACAGACTATTTTCTTTCTCACAGTTGCCACACACTTGGTTAATAACTTTATTAGTTGTCCGCTGTGACCATACTTTTTTTTGGGGTTAGATGGAGATATAAATATATACGTGATTGAAGGGGGGTGGGTTTACCTCAATGTGCAACATTTTATGTATTGATTTCTGAGATATAGTTTGGGCTGAAAGATGAATCACAGATCTTAAGACTTTTAAGAATGAACAAAGAAATAAGATTGGGCCATTCTGCAACTTCAGCCAAATGTCCACACTTAAAATCCTTGTATAACCATTGTGCGTCCATTCATTTTAAATGTTGTCCACTGACTGCAAATCCATGTCCATCCATGGAAAGTATTATTTGTGTTAAATGAATGTATTTTATTACAGCATTAATTGCTATTTTGTGTTTGTGTGTGTGTATATTTTAATTTGAGTCAATATAAAATGTAGAGATGCTAATAAGCATAGATGCTATTTTATATCTTGACTGGTTGTTTTCAATTTTATGAGAAATTCATGCTTCATCCCAACGTGAAGGGAGGGTCCATATATTAATTATTTGGGACATACATTTGTCTTTTCCACTTAAGATCAATCAGTTGCAAAGGAGGATATTGAGGATTTGTGTACTTATAATAGTTGTGTGAAAGAAGGAATTTCTGAAGGTGCTGCTTAACATGAAGTCAATGAGGGAGTGTTTTTGTGTATGTATGAGTGAGGTATCTCCTAAAATCATCAGAGTTCAGTGGAAGAGTCCTATGTTTTGCATTTGGGAGGATCCAAAGTTTAAATAAAAAAATGAAAATGGCAGCAGTGTCTCCACTGTTGTGGCTGTTAATCCATCAGTATTGAATTATTGAGCTAATCATATGCAGAGTAGCTGCAACCAACAGATTAATGTACAAGTATTGGCTGAATTCATAGATGGATGTTAGAAACAAGGTTATTGGCCCTTTTAGCATTATTTTCCGTGCAATTTGTTTTAAAACATATGTAAAATGTTTCTGACTTGGTTGTACAATATAGCTTCATTGACCTTTAAGTATTAATAAACTGGGATTTTGTATAAACTGTACATTGAGCTATCCTTCCTTTGATGTCATACATGGCTCTGTTATAGTTTTGGCAGGATACTTTAAGAATTCTATGGAAATGTTCATTTCCTTTCTGCACTAAAAGACAGCTCAGTATTAATCATGGTATCCACGCATGACACACATGGACATACCCTAACGATTTCATTTGTTACAGGCAAAATGTTACTTTGAAAGTGCTGAATTGTAGGGTTTATCCCAAATATCTAATATTGGTTCTTAGATCAGCAAGCCAAGATTCAAATGAGAATAAATAGTAGTTGAGCTGCATTTCCTATTCTGATTGCTTCCAGATGTTCTGGGATACAACTCCTTTCCTTGCTAGCCAACTAGCTAGGAATTGACAGACACCAGGCCAGAGAAGCTGAATGAGAAAAAGTAAATTATGATTGCAAGAATAATTTGATTGCAGGTAGGTTACACAGAATAGGATCAAGTAGTTCTTTTTAAATACCATGCTCAACCATTGAGAAAAATATCGTAACAGAAATCTCAAGCCCATGTGTAGGTGAGGACCCTGAAAATATCTCTGAACTACATCTCTTTCACAACTGTGTAAAAAAGAAAAGAAATGTGTTTGTTTTCCTTACATATATGCATGCCAGTATACATACCACCCCATTCAAATTAAGGGACAAAAGAAATAAAATGGGGAACTAATATTTCCTACAAGGCTTTATCTTCACTCTCTGGTTAGAATAGTTTTGTTTTTTGTTTTTAAAGAAAGAATGCATGGTATTCTCTCCCCTTCCCCCCAGTGTAAAAAGTAAGTTTCAAGCCTATTATATCCACCCAACTGGAGGAAGCCTCTATTGACCACAATAGATCTTATTTCTATATAGGAATTATTGCTAAGTTGATTGCTAAACCAATTGCCTCTCGTGAGTTTTGCTAGACTTTTATTCCATTACAAAGCATGTCTGTGAACTTCTCAATTTATGGTGTATCAAAACATTTGAAACCCAAAGCAGATTTTCGGCAGAGGCACAACCAGTGACAACTGACACTTTCCAAATGTTACAGTAAACCTGAAGTAGTGCAGTGGCGTTGAACCGTAGCTTCCCTCATTTCCAACCAGTGACTGCTGGAGGACACCAAGTTGGGGACGTCTGGTTGGGAGGGAACAGGAGATTTAGATGGTTTTTCTTCTGTGCCTCATGCTGGCTCTTCATTCCCAACCCCCCCAGGTAATTCCTCAGACTTTATTGAAACTTACAGGATGCAGTTGGGTTAGAAAGATAACCCTCACCTTCTTAGGTTGTGTGTCATCTCTCTGTAACCTATTCTGGTGGAAAACTCAGCTGCCTGACAAATGAAAGAAAAGTTTTAGGTTGCAGCCTTTTACTTCCTGAAGGAAATTCCAAAAATGCCCTGAAGACAAAAAACGGAAGAAGGCTGGGATTTCTCTCCATATGTCTCCTGGCATGGAAGAAATGACTTCATTTGCAATCATTTCCTTTTCTTGGAGAGTGTTTTTGGCAAAGTTTGGAAGTGGGAGGTCTGAATACGCAAAAAACTAAGATTAATTTCTCCAACCTAATACCCTTTAGATGTATTGGGACTGCTGTATCATTCCTATTCAATATTACGTTGTTTGGAGATTCTGGGATTTGTATTAGTATATTCCAGGTTCCAAGTTGTAGGAGGTCTGATTTTGCTTTTTATGGACTGTTTCACTGGTTGTGTTATCACAGGTGACCCTTAATATATTTTAAGAAAATATAGAAGAATGAAAATTCAGGTTACCCCTTTGTAACTTGGATGCTAACCGTGACCTAGGGAATGGCGTTGACAATTTATTTCTTTATAATACTGTTTTTGAACTGCTGATGGGCTTTACAAATTTTTTCAAGATGAAAGCCACA